TTTCTATTTCATCAGTTGTTATTGGCCTATTCAGGTTTTCTGATTCTTCCTGATTCAGTTTTGGAAGATTGTATATTTTTAGGAATTTATCCATTTCATCCACATTGTCCAGCTTGTTGTTCATAGTATTTTCTTACAATCCTTTGTATTCTCTGGTGTCAGTTGTTACTTCACTGCTTTCATTTCTGATATTATTTGGGTCCTCTCTCTTTGTTTCTTGATGAGTAAGGCTAATAGTTCATCAATCTTATTTATCTTTTCAAAGGACCACTCTTGGTTTCATTTATTTTATTTTTTATATATATTTTATTGATTTTTTACAGAGAGGAAGGGAGAGGGATAGTTAGAAACATCGATGAGAGAGAAACATCGATCAGCTGCCTCCTGCACACTCCCCACTGGGGATGTGCCCGCAACCAAGGTACGTGCCCTTGACCAGAATCGAACCTGGGACCCTTGAGTCCGCAGGCTGACGCTCTATCCACTGAGCAAAACCAGCCAGAGCTATTTTATTTAATTTTTTAGTCTCTATGTCATTTATTTCTGCTCTAAACTTTACTTCCTTCCCTCTACTTAATCTGTTTTTTTCATTGTTATTCTCTAATTCTTTAAGTTGTAGGGTTAGTTTATTAATAATTTTTCTTGTTTTTTGAAGTAGGCTGGTAGTGCTATGAACTTCCCTCTCAGGACTGCTTTTGCTGTGTCCCAGAAATTTGGGGTTGTTGTGTATTCATCTTCATTTATTTCCAGGAAGTTTTTTTTATTTCTTTCTTGATCTCATTGGTAACCCATTCATTGTTTAATAACATGCTACTTAGCTTCCGTGTGTTTGAATGTTATTCGGTGTTTTTACTGTAGTTGATTTCTAATTTCATTCCACTGTGATCTGAGAAGATGCTTTATATGATTCAATCTTCTTGAACGTGTAGAGACTTGTTTTGTGTTCTAACATGTGGCCTATCTTTGAAATGACACATGTGCACTTGAGAAGAATGTATATTCTGCAGCTTTGGTATGAAATGTTCTATAAATGTCAATCAAATCATTGTGATCCAGTGTGTCATTTAAAGTCAGTTTCCTTGTTAATTATTTGTCTGGAATATCTATCCAGTAGAGTCAGCGGTTGTTACAGTCCCCTACTATGACTGTATTGCTGTCCATCTCTCCCTTACAGTCCTCTAGAAGTTTTTTTAAATATATCTAGGTGTCCCTATATTGAGTGTATACATGTTTACCATGGTTATATCTTCTTGTTGGATCAATTTCTTTAGTATTATGTAGTGACCTTTATTTTCTCTTATGCTGTAGGCCTGTTTATTTGAGGAACTTTAGAATTACACTATAAATTGCATCCCCCAACACACATATATAAATGCTCATGCATATACAAAAGGAGAATTCTTAGCATTCTAACTGGAATTATTTTCTACCTAAAAGTTAAATTGAAAAAATTTAATATCTTTATAATATTTGTTCTTTTCAGCCATGAATATGGTAATATTTCCATTTAGTCAACTAGAGATAGTTTTTAAACCATGAGAATGAAGATAAGTTTCATAACAGCCATGTTGATAAGTTATAGCAATTTGAGTCCATTTATTATTTTTAGATATTTATAGTGTTCACACCATTTTAAATGAAAGGATAAAGTGAAATGAAATTACAAACATTTAAAAGTCTTAAAAGCAAATCAACCAACAACAAGTACTGGCGAGGATGTGAAGAAAAGTGCACTGCTTGCTAGTGGGAATGCAGAGTGGTGCAGCCACTGTGAAAAACAGTATGTAGTTACCTCAAAAAAGTAAAAATGGAACTTCCATTTGACCCAGTGATCCCACTTCTGGGTATTTACCCAAAGAAACCCAAAACTCTAATTCAAAGGAATATATGCACCCTTATGGTCTTTGCAGTGTTATTTACAATATCCAAGATTTGGAAGCTGCCCAGGTGCCCATCAGTAGATGATTGGATAAAAAAGCTATGATACATTTACAGAATGGAATACTAATTGGCTGTAAAAGAAAGAAGGCAATCTTACCCTTTGTGACAGCATGGATGGATATGGAAAGTATTATACAAAGTGAAATAAGCCAATCAGAGAAAGACAGGTACCATATGATTTCACTCTTATGTGGAATCTAATGAATAAAATAAACTAACAAACAAAAATTTTTAAAAGTCTTAAAAGCAAATGAGCCTGATACAGAAGATAGAAAGGAAAAGCAAAACATAAAACCAAAGCTGAATATTAAAGTAGCAATTCAACAGAACAAACAAGAACTTCAATCAAGGACCCCACATATCCCCCATTTGTGGAAGGAGAATAGTGGAGCTGAGCACTTCTCTTTATTATTCATCTGCCAGATATTCTCCCACCAACTATAATCAAGTTACTGCTCTGCTCAAAAATATTCAATGGTTTCCCACTGCTTACAATTTAAAATCCAAACTCTTTAATCTGACATTCAAGGCTCTGGCTGCAATCCAAACTTTTAGTGTTCACATCCACTTCTCACCTATCAGAAAATGCCCAGAAATACTTTATACTTTCCCATCTCTATACCTCTTCCTAATACTCAGCCCCTGCTCCAGTCTCCTGACAAAATTCTATCCTTTCTTCAAAGACTAACTCAAAAACCACCTTCTGCGTGAACCCTCACATGACATGTGCAGCGTGTAGTCTTTTCTCCCTTAGAAATCTTAACACTCACTACTGTGTACACTGTGCCATATCGTGGTTATTTGTGCACATATCTCCTTAACTTCCTTAAGGCTTCCTGAGGGCCTACTCCATGCCTTGTACTATTTTATATCTTGCATTGCCCTGTACAAGTAATCAATAAATATATGTTGAAAAATGTTACTGAAAAGCAGTAAAGATTTGGCAAGTAATGGCAATTATAAAATAGAAATGCATTTATGATGCATTTCAAAGAACATTAAACACTATGACTTGCTGACGACAAGTGATCTATATATAAGGTGTCTCTGCATGGGGAAACTGCCTTCATCTTTCCAAACACTTATTAAAGCACCCTTGTGAAAAGGCTATTCAGCTTCACACATTTGGTTTGAATCAGAACTGTGGGAACAGATCATACTTTACTAAGCTTTGAAAAACTTGAAATCCTGTTTTATATCAGGACAATAAAAACATAGCCATGGTCATTATTTCATTCACCTTCTTCATGTTCCCTCCAAGGGCAGGGTACGGAGGCTTGTTGACACGGCTCCAGTTGACTGGCACGCGGATCATTTCATAGAGCTGGAAGATCACTAGAGCATCTGCAAGATCACTAAAGTAGGAGGAAAAGAAGATGAAGGAGGAGGAAATGCTGGTACTACATAGTTTTATTAAGCACACTGGAGATGGGCTTATGTCTTTAAAAATACAACAGGCTCAATTAACACTTAAAGAACAACAGGTTACACCATTTGACCCAGAACTTCTAATCTAGAAATCTGTCCAAAATTTCTTAATGAATGTTTACAAACATAATGTGTACAAGGACATTTATTGCCATAGCATTTATACATTTGGAAACAACTTAAATACCAGCTAGTAGAGGGCTGCTGAATAAACTATTCATACCATGGACTCCTGGGCTACCATAAAACATAATAAGGTAGATTTCTATGTACTCACTTTATAAGACATATTACATTAAAAAAGGAAGTGGCAGAACACTGCATATTTTATTAGTTATTAAATTTATTTTTAAAAGTAAGAGTATTTAAATACCTATATGTGCTTTTGGCTGTTAGAAGTTATTATCTCTGGGCAGGAAAGAAAGAATATGGAAAGGATAAGGGACAGATTGTCATGTTTTGTTTTATTCTACATATTTCTTGAAACTTGTACAATGGGAATGGAGTCCATATATTGCTTATGTATTATGATTTTTAAAACTTTTAAAAATAATTACAGAAAAATCACAATAGCTACTTGGTAGGAAGTTGTTCATCTATATATATAAAAGTCTAAGTGACTGGACTCACTGACCGGCCGGTAGCTATGACACACACTGACCACCAGGGGGCAGACACTCAACACAGGAGCAGAAACCACAGGTGTGGAAATATGGAACAGACTGAAGAATCTCAGAGGGAAGGGGGGAGAAGGGAGGGTGGGAAGAGATTAACCAAAGATCTTATATGCATACTAGAGGCCTGATGCACACATTCGTGCACTGGTGGGGTCCCTTGGCCTGGTCTGAGCCCTCTCGCAATCCAGGACCCCTTGGGGGATGTCAGACTGCCAGTTTCAGGGTCTTATCCTGACCCCCGCAGGCCAGGCCGAGGGACCCCACCAGTGCACGAATCCATGCACTGGGCCTCTAGTGTTAAATAATAAGGGTTAAGAGGAAGGAATTTGCCCTAGGCAGTGTTACTCAGTTGGTTGGAGCATTGTCCCATACACCAAAAGGTGGCAAATTCAATTCCTGGTCAGGGCACAAGCAGGAAGCAGCTGATTGATGTTTCTCTCTCACATCCATATTTCTCTCTCCTTCCCTCTCTCTAAAATAAATGAAAAAGCATGTCCTCAGGTGAGAATTTAAAAAAAAAAGAGGAAGAAATTTATGAGCAAGTAGGAGTTACTGAAGAATAGTACTACTTTGGATTCAGAAAAAAATATTCTCCTGAGATGCTCAAAGTATGTCCATCAAGTCTGTTTTCTTTTTTTTTTTTTAATATACTTTATTGATTTTCTACAGAGAGGAAGGTAGAGGAATAGAGAGTTAGAAACATCGATGAGTGAGAAACATCGATCAGCTGCCTCCTGCACACCCCCTACTGGGGATGTGCCCGCAACCAAGGCACATGCCCTTGACCGGAATCAAACCTGGGACCCTTCAGTCTGCAGGCTGATGCTCTATTCACTGAGCCAAACCGGTTAGGGCCATCAAGTCTGTATGCTAAGGACACAAAGAAACAGCAGTTGATCTTAAACTTGCTAGGTCTGTGATGTGTAATGTGGCTTTTCTCTCTCAATAGCTGTTCACTGAGCTATGGAAAGGATAAGGGACAGATTGTCATGTTTTGTTTTATTCTACATATTTCTTGAAACTTGTACAATGGGAATGGAGTCCATATATTGCTTATGTATTATGATTTTTAAAACTTTTAAAAATAATTACAGAAAAATCACAATAGCTACTCGGTAGGCAGTTGTTCTTTAGCTAAGATTCATATTAAAGTTACTTTGCATCTGTGAGCACACATGCGATACCAGTAAAGGGGGCTTGCCCCTGTGTTGAGCAATGGAAGGAGTCTATTATGAAGGTAATTAAGCACTGACGAGGTCATCTATAAGCACATGGAGATTTTTGTAATAAAAAATCATTAAAGTTATTTGTATAACTTCTGGAATCTCATCTATTTCATGACTTTTTCCTTTTAACTTTAAATGAAGTCATTCTTATTTCTATGTAGTATGGTATTATTATTATTATTATTATTATTATTATTTATGTTTTTGCAAATAGAGAAACTGAAACCTGAGGCATGTGGCCCACAGGCCGCAAGTTTGACATGCTGGTGTACACCCTTGGTCTCTCTCCAATAACTCACTTTAAAAACTTGGCACTGTCTGGGAAAAATTATTTGGTTTGGTAAATAATTTTAAGTGCTGTTTTATTACCATTGCTGTCAACTAGTTGAGCAGCCTTTATATATATAAAAAATCTGTTACACAAACACACAAAGCTCTCCTTTATAGCAGGAAGCAGTCTTTATCTTCAAGGGAGGTGATGCATGCATTCTGGGAACAAAGGGGCATGGATGGTGTGGCTTACTGGGGTAGCTGCTTGCCAGCAGAGTGTTTGTGTGTGTATCTGTGTGTATATGTATGTGAATGTGTGCATGTATGTGTGTATATGGGTGTGCACTGTGCCCATGATGGTGTGGGTTTTTCCCACTTTAATGTCACTGCTGAGAACACATCTGTATGGGTAGTTGCTACTACCCGCTGTCAAGCTAGAAGTTTAGTGGTGTTTGGTATAATTTCTGGGCACAAATTTATCAGCACAGTGGGTGTTGGGGTTAGCTTTTCAGCAGGTGCTCCACTGCACTAAGGAAAGATGTAGTTTTGTCCAAGAAGAACTACTGCACTGTCAGCAGCAGATCAAAGGGATGTTCATTCCAAGCCACTCCAGACCAGAAATTGTAGTGGGGACAGTCTATAGGAGACCAGAGGGAGAGAGACCATAGAGCAGTGATGGCGAACCTATGACACGCGTGTCTGAGGTGACACGCGAACTCATTTTTTTGGTTGATCTTTCTTTGTTAAATGGCATTTAAATATATAAAATAAATATCAAAAATATACATCTTTGTTTTACTATGGCAAATATCAGTCAGAGGTGACACGCGAACTCATTTTTTTGGTTGATTTTTCTTTGTTAAATGGCATTTAAATATATAAAATAAATATCAAAAATATACATCTTTGTTTTACTATGGTTGCAAATATCAAAAAATTTCTATATGTGACACGGCACCAGAGTTAAGTTAGGTTTTTTCAAAATGCTGACACACCGAGCTCAAAAGGTTGGCCATCACTGCCATAGAGAATCACCTTGGCACACTTGAGTCATTGGCTAGGTGCAGCCACTTGTCATGCCGGTGTTCGTCCAAGTTGGGTACCTTCTGTGTGTCGTCACCATAAAAGGTAGAGCATGTGACATGAATGCATTGTGGGTGGGAAGCTTGTTGTTACTGATCATCCCCCTGGCAGAGGAGTGAGTAGACCTCACAGGTTGGCATAAAGACAAACCCCAGGGAGGGTCTTGAAAGGAAAGTAACTGTTTACTGCTCCCATCTTTTCTCCCTGTTACCTCCAGCTTCTGGCTGTGTGGCACTCCCCCTGTGGGAGCACACTGACTGCCAGGAGGCAGCTCCTGCATTGAGTGTCTGCCCCCTGGTGGTCAGTCCATGTCATAGCGACCAGATGTTCTGCAGTTCGGTCAATTTGCATATTAGGGTTTTATTATATAGGATTCTGAACTGGAGATTAATGCCAAAAAGACCAAGATCACTGGCTGAGGATTTATGATGGAGTTATTTCTGCTTCTTGGTATATATTCAAAATATTATTTAAAATCTAAAACCAGTAGTGCCTTATTATGGCAATGACTTTGATGTGATAGACTCACATTTGATAAACTCTTTTTTTTAATTTTGTTTTATTGCTTAAAGTATTACAAAGAGTATTACATATGTCTCCTTTTTTTTCCCCTTGACCTTCCCCCTGCCTCCCCTACCCCACAGTGTCTTGTGTGTATGTAAATTCAGCTAAATGATAAGAGATATGCCATTTAGGGCAGAACTCCTATATAGTAGCAGGGCAGTGAAGGTCTCAAATAGTGGAAGGGAGGAGCAGCTAGATCTTTATGGACATTGGAAGGAATGTCTATAATATATAATTAAGAGAAAGAATAATAGGTCTAGCCCTGGGCAGTGAGGTCAACGGTTAGAGCACTGGCCCACTGAAGATCTCTGGTTCAATTCCCAGTCAAGGGCATGAATCTGGGTTGCAGGTTTGATTCCCAGCCCCAGTCAGGGTGTGTGTGGGAGGCAACCAACTGATGTGTTTCTCTCATATCGATGTTTCTTCCACATCGATGTTTCTCCCCCCCCTCTTTTTTCCTCCCCCTCCCTCTCTTCCACTCTTCCTTCCACTCTCTCTAAAAATCAATGGGAAAAATATCCTGTGATGATCCTAATTTTTTTTTAATTGAGCATATACATATTTGTATATGAATTTTTTTTTAAAGTTTGGAGGGATGAATACCAAACTCTATGCAACCTTGGTAGGTAAGACAAGACTTTTATTTTTAATTTTAGTAACTTAAGGTATGATATTTTATTTGTTTTTACAATGAGCATGTATTTCTATTTTAATTAAAAAGTAAATATAAAGCCCTAGCTGGTTTGGCTCAGTGTATAGAGCAGCCGTGGGCAAACTACGGCCCGCGGGGCGGGGCCGGCCCCCTTGAAAAGAATAAAAATAAAAAAAAAAAAAAAGACCGAACCCTTTTATGTAATGATGTTTACTTTGAATTTATATTAGTTCACACAAACACTCCATCCATGCTTTTGTTCCGGCCCTCCAGTCCAGTTTAAGAACCCATTGTGGCCCTCGAGTCAAAAAGTTTGCCCACCCCTGGTATAGAGCATTGGCCTACGGACCAAAGGGTCTTGGGTTCAATTCCCATCAAGGGCACGTACATTGCTTGCAGGCTTCTCCCCAGCCCAGGCCCTGGTCAGGGCATGCATAGGAGGCAACTAATCAATGTGTTTTTCTCATACCGATGTTTCTCTCTGTCTTTCCTTCTCTCTAAAAAATCAATGGAAAAATATCCTCAGGTGAGGATTAACAACAACAACAAAATTATAACTAATATTATATTATCTTTTAAAAAATACTATACTTTTCTTTTAAAATCCATTTCATTGCCAATTCCCAGCATTCTGAAACTCTACATGTTGGCTAAAATTCTTGTGATTTTTATAAATGTTCTCATGTAAACATACCTAGAGCTTGAAACTAGAAAAGTTGGACCCTCGCCATAAAGCTGAAACACAGTAAAATGTTTACCTGTACAAATGATTAATGTAAGGGTTGACCCCCAAGGAATTCATCCAGTTTCGAAATGTCCTTTCTTCCTTGCTCTCTCCTAGAGTAGACACAAGTTCATACTGATGATTCAGGACAAAAGGAATCAAGAACCACATTTTAAACCCTTCAGGCAGATATAAACTGGCCATACATACTTTGCCATGGTTCCTATGACACTACAAAAATTTTAGGCAAAAAAATCTCTTATTGCCAAAGTCCCTTTTTTCCCCTCTGTCTAGACAGCCTCTATTTGCTCTAAATTTTTCCATCTAGTATTTTTTATTGATGTCTGTGAACTACTGAGCCATGGGTTTCTCTGTCCAGAAAAGTAATAAATAAACTACAGATGTGTGGTGATATCCATAGTTAGAATTACATGCAACATGATTGGCTAAAATTAAGAAAAGAAAATCTTTTAGCAGCCAGGGTAATATCAGCACATTAAACAGAAACAAAAAGTTGTACTGTTTCCAAAGCTGTATTACTAAATTTGTACAAATAGGGTTTTACACAGAAAAGTTGCTGGGCACACAAACCTACATTGTAATTACACCAGATAGCAATGAAGGAGATGTGATTACAGGTCATATAAAAACAAGCAATGAGGGGGATGTAACTGCTTTACAGGCTTCTTGAGTTTAGATTGTTCCTATTGAAAATACATAAGGGACACAGCCCCACACAGAGTGCTAAGAGAAAGACACATTTCATCATAGTAAGTCCCTAGACCTCAAAGACCATCTTGAGAAGAAACTCCTGCAGGCATTATTATTTAACCTGTGATTACCTAAATTGCCTGAACATTCCCTTCACAGCAGTGTTTATATCATTTACTAGAGGCCCGATGCACGAAATTCCTGCAAGAGTAGGCCTTCCTTCCCCCGGCTGCTGGCACTGGCTTCCCTCTGGCACCAGGGACCTGGGCTTCCCTCCCGCCACCAGCAGCCGGGACCCAGGCTTCCCTTGCAGAGGGAGGCCCCTCCCGCCCGCCACAGCCCGCCTGTTGGTGGCCTGGGCCTCCCTCTTTGGGACTATCGTGGAGCCCCCCAATCGATCACCCTGCCGGCTGGTAGCCTGGGCCTCCCTCTGCAAGGCGATCATGGGGCGATGGCCGGGCCCCCTGACCAATCGCATTGCACTTGCCTTGGCTGGCCTGGCGCAAGTGGGTGTCATAGTGTGGTTGCTTGGTCTAATTAGCAAATTATGCTTTTATTATTATAGATAAGGAAAACGTGGGATATCCTGTGACACAAAGGGAGCAGAGAGAGAAGTGTGCCCTCCTGGTCATTTTTGCCTTTTAGTCATCACCTTAATGACAATGGTCCTCAGTGACTAGAAAATTTTTGTTTGTCTTTCAGCAAAGTTAGGGAGACAATGGAATAGACTAGCCCAGTGGTCGGCAAACCCATTAGTCAACAGAGCCAAATATCAACAGTACAATGACTGAAATTTCTTTTGAGAGCCAAATTTTTTAAACTTAAACTACATAGGTAGGTACATTGTTATTAACTTAATTAGGGTACTTCTAAGGCTTAGGAAGAGCCACACTCAAGGGGCCAAAGAGCCGCATGTGGCTCGCGAGCTGCAGTTTGTCAACCACGGGACTAGCCTATATCTCACTACCAGACTCCTGAAAAATGAAACATTTATAGTACGCCTTGCATCACTTCTATACCAGAGGCAAGTTCAAGCCACTCTCTAGACTTTGTCTCATGTGAGGTTCCCAGGACAATTTGGCCTATAAATCTACAACCATCTGAACGAGCTCCAGGAGCCCATTTCTATAGAGCCAGCCGCACAGTCATCTTCAGACTAAGTCACACAGACAATAAAAACCTGCATACCCAGAGGAGAAACCAAAACCTTGTAAAATCTAAAGCATTCTGTTTTTGGGGGGCAACTGTTCAGAAAATAATCTTCCCACTGTACTTTCATGTGGTTTTCAATGCCATTACCTAAAAGCTTTCCCAGAGACTGTTTGAATTCTTGTTCTGTTAAATTATATAACCATATTATTTGTTGTCTAAATTTTGCCCCCTCTTGCCCTAACTGGTTTGGCTCAGTGGATAGAGCGTCAGCCTGCGGACTCAAGGGTCCCAGGTTCAATTCCGGTCAAGGGCATGTACCTTGGTTACGGGCACATCCCCAGTAGGGAGTGTGCAGGAGGCAGCTGATCGATGTTTCTAACTCTCTATCCCTCTCCCTTCCTCTTTGTAAAAAATCAATAAAAAATATATTTTAAAAAAAATTTTGCCCCCTCTTGTATGCATAAAAGGTGGCTGATTATTCTGTTGTATCTGCCACTACAACTTTATAATAACCTATATGAGAACCTTTTAAAAAAGAATCAAGTTAACCTAAAAATGTCTAGAAACTATGATTACCTTATTTTATAGGGGTTATTAAACAGGTGCAAATTAAATATCGGGATTTTTCCCAAAGTAACATAAATACAAACATATAATCAATAGCTTGATGCATGTGACTTGGGTTTACCTTTTAGTTTTTTCTCTATTACAATCTGTTTTTATCTACATATAAATATTTTTTTAGTAATTAGAGAATTTTTACACTATTTCCACCTCTGAAAATCCAAGTTATGTTTTAAAATAACAAACATTAGTAGTGTAACAATTGTTTAATTTTTAATTATAATAATATCTAAATTCTGCTGAACCTGATAATTTAGTGTATTCTATTTAAAAAGTCACTAAGCTTGTATCTTGACTGAAAGTGTAAGTTTCAGAGGTTCACATTTCTTCCTATTATTCTCAACTAATTATATCATTATTAATTTTTGATACCTGGAAAGTAAAATAGATTTTTAAGAGAGCACTTATTTATCTAATACCATTTCAAGTTGTCTTGGTAAATAAATGCTCAAAGCCAGCAGTACTATGCATTTGTGCAAGAGCCATAGTAAAGCATTACAAAAACATATGTATTCCAGATTGTAGATGACTAAAGCAATCTCAGAAGTAAAATCTTAATTGCTGATAGAAAAGATACAAAAAACTATAAAACATTCTTTTCATTTTCATAGTCAAACTAACATCTGCAATTGAAGTTTCATGAAAACTAACAAATATATTAAAAATAGGCTAGTAAGAGGAAATAAAAGGAATTGACATATTTAACACTCACAAATGTGGTAAGTGCTGTATAAGTGGTTTCTTCCTCTCTCTACCTGACCATTATTGAGCACATACTGTTTGCTAAATTCTTTCATGAAAGGTAATTTTTAATTCACTCTGTGATTCTTCACAATAAGTATTACTGGTCTTGTTTTATATGTGAGAAAACTAAGGCTCACAGAGATCACTCAGATGTTTAATGGTGGAACCATGATTGAACAAAGTATAATTCCGTGGCCTAGGTATTTTCTATCACCACAAATGAGTTCTGACATGGTCTCTCTATACACAGCCTATGTATTTGGCTCAATTTAATATGAAGGTTTAATATTTAGTTGGCCTTTTAATTTTCTTTATTCTATATAGATAAAATTCTTTGCCAATGAGGACATGCTAATATATGAATATGGGATGTGATAAGGTCAAGCTTCAAACTTCATAAGGATCTATAAACACAAATTTACAGAGAAAAAATTCCAATGTCAGTAAAGTCAAATACATTTTGGCAGATGTACATACATATGTTCTAAATAAAGATGATTGATAAATATTTCCCATGGTATCTTCTTATATAGTAAACTAGAGGCCTGGTGCATGAAATTTGTGCACTCGGTGGGGGGGGGGCTCCCTCAGCCAGGCCTGCACCCTCTTGCAGTCCAGGAGCCCTTGATGGATGTCTGACTGATGGCTTAGGCCCGCGGGAGCTGTCAGTTGGACATGCTTAGCGCTGCGACAGAGGCAGGAGAGACATGCAGCGGTGAGCCAGGCTTCTGGCTAAGCGGCACTCCCCCTGTGGGAGTGCACTGACCACCAGGGGGCAGCTCCTGCATTGAGCGTTTGCCTCCTGGTGGTCAGTGCGCATCATAGTGACCAGTTGTTCTGCTGTTCGGTCGATTTGCATATTAGCCTTTTATTATACAGGATACTATGGAAATATTTAGCAATCTGATCCACACTGAAAAATTCCAAAAGCATGCTGAACACTAGCAAAAGAATTCAAACGTTACAAATAGGAGAACAAGCAAGTTGGACAAGATATCTAGCAAGAATTTGGTGACTATAAAAAGCAGATCATTTTTAATATGCCACTCTAAACAATGCCTTCTAATGTAAGACACAAAGGAATTTTGAAATTTTCCAGACTCATAAAAACTTAGCAGTCTTCCTTTTTATTTAATTTTTTAAAATTCTAATTTCTGATTATATATTTCTCTGTTGAAGTCTATACTTAATCTCTCTTCCCTCTTAGTGATGTAAGTGGAGGAGGCAGTCATTTTATTTCACTGGGCCTCAGGAAGAGTGAATTGAATTAATCATATTCTTCAAAGAACATACTTGTTAACTCTGAAACTTCTCCCACTAACTAAAACAACTGTAATTATAAAGTGACAAAGACATCAGAACTCTGGCTGTGGCAGTCAGAGAAAAAGATCATGAAACTGATTTCTTATGCTGTCTCAAGAAGGGAGAAGGAAGTAACATGGGTGATGTGAGTGAATGAACACTGAATCGTCAAATTCTCTCCACCAAGAATCCCTACTTGAGCACTACCTTCTCCAAAACAGGGTAACTAGTGGGAATATTTTAGGATTGGCCCTTACTTCAGACAACTGCCACTACTTTTTTACTTTTAGTTGGTACTAAAGTGGGTTTTGGTATGCATGAGTGAGAGGGTGAAAATGGGAGAAGAAAAGAAGAGAGGCTGGGAAACAGAAGATGAGAAAGAACTAGATATTGAGAATGTATTTGTCATTATGACGATTCATATATTATAAGCTTCAATGACATTCAGTAAATGAAACACAGTTAAATAATACAAAATAATGTTACAGAACCTAAATAGATCTTTTCAAAAATTACTTGTGATAAAAGATGTTTGTTTATTTACAGGAGAGAGATAAAGGCTTTGCATCAAATCATGAAATCCAATTGTCAATATTGATTTCTAATGTGCTTACAACTACACTCCCATCATTACAGAGGGCAAATTAGGTGAAGAATTTACATAACCAACCCTTGCTCTGCTATTCAAATTAAGCTTCATTTGTGTTCCTTGCTTATTATCATTCATTCTTTAGGCATATTAAGACTGAAAAAAAACACAGCATGAACAATGCAAAAAATAAATATCAACCCAGATAGAAAGAATAAATTGTATTAATAAAAAGAACATTCAGAATGAATATAGAGAATATAGGAAAGTACTAAATACAGTACCTACATTAGGAGGGGTCAAATCTGCATTTCATGAAGCAAAACAGGAAAGTAATATAAATTATGAGACAGATAACAATAGCCCACACACAAGACAAGTAATGAATATTATAAATTTTTTCATGTGCAGTAAAAACATTAAAAAGAGAACAAAACTGGAATCAAACTGTAGCTTTCAAAGGAGAAAACAAGCTACAAATAATTATTTTTTCCAATAGATAATTCAATGTCCATATTCGTGGTGGAGTTATGTTATGTGGTCATTTAAGAAAATATTTTTAATATATGATAGTTTTCACTAACATCTTATAGAGAAATGACAGACAAGTAAGAATTACCCCACACCTTTTAACCAAAACCAATAACCACTTTCTTTAATTTTAACTTTTTAATGGATACACATGCCTACATACAGTAAACTATGCCTCCCACCACCCTCTCCTACCTCTGAGAGTGAAGTAGGTCAATATCACAGGAAGATACATACTGTGAATCAATTAAAGGCAGAAAGAACATACCTTCCAATAAATTCATATCGATGTCATTATTATCAGGCTTGTGTAGGCATGGGTATGTGTTAAACAGATTAGCTACAAAAGCTAAATTAAGTTTAGGATTGCCTGAAACCACATCTGCAGGAGTAACAAACTGTCTGCAGCCCAGTTTATCTGCTTCTTGAAGCATGAATCCAGCACGCTTCAGGTCATTTTTCTCCTAAACAATAAAATAAAATAAAAATGGTCAAGATTAAAATTTTAATTGGCATAACCTTTTATTGTTATACATATTTATAAGCAATTACTTTTATATATATATGCCTAAGCAACCATCCAACCATTTGACTGCCCGACTGGTAGCTATGACACGCAATGACCACCAGGGGACAGACGCTCAACCCAGGAGCTTCTGATCTTCGGTTACTTGGCAGCTGCGGTTCTCAGGTGACGCACCTGGAACCAGAACGGAGCGAGCCCGATTCCAGGGTGCATCACCTGAGAACCACCCTCTCGCAATCTGGGACCCCTCAGGGGATGTTGGAGAGCTGGTTTCAGCCCGATCCCTGCAGGCCAGGGTGAGGGACCCCACCAGTGCATGAATCCATGCACTGGGCCTCTAGTTGTAAATAAAGCTGCTACGAACATAGGGGTCATATAATCTTTTCAACTGGTGTTTTGAGATTCTTAGGATAAATACCCAGAAGTGGGACTGCTGGGTCAAAAGGCAGTTCCATTTTTAATTTTTTGAAGAAACTCCATACTGTTTTCCACAGTAGTTGTACTAGTCTGCTTTCCCAACAGCAGCGAAGTAGGGTTCCCTTTTCTCCACGTCCTCACCAACCACTTGCTGTTTGTTGATTTGTTGATGATAATCAATCTGGCAGGTGTGAGGTGATACCTCATTTTGGTTTTAATTTGTGTTTCTCTAATGACCTTGAACATTTTTTCATGTCTATTGGCCATCTGTATGTCCACTCTAGAGAAGTGTCTATTCAGGTCCATTGCCCATTTTTAAAAATATATATTTTTATTGATTTCAGAGAGGAAGGGAGTGGGAGAGAGAGAGAAACATCAATGATGAGAGAAAATCATTGAATGTCTGCCTCCTGCACACCCCCTACTGGGGATCGAGCCTGCAACCCGGGTATGTGCCCTTAATCAGAATCGAACCCAGGATCCTTCAGTCTGCAAGTCGATGCTCTCTCCACTGAGCCAAACTGGCTAGGGCCCATTGCCCATTTTTTAATAGGATTGTTTGTCTTCCTTGTGTTGAGTTGTATAGATTCGTTTTATATTTTGGAGATTAACCCCTTATCTAATGAATCATTGGTGAATATGTTCTCCCACACAGTGGCTCTCTTTTCATTTTGTTGATGGTTTCCTTTATTGTGAAGAAAACTTTTAGTCTGATGCCAACCCATTTGTTTATTTTTTTCCTGTGTTTCCCTTTCCCTTGGAGACATGTCGAAGTGTCTTTATATTTTAGAAATACACATTGAAATATTTATCAATGAAGAGATATGACATCTACCCTGGCTGGTTTTCTCAGTGGTTAGAGTGTCAGCCCAAGGACCAAAGGGTCACAGGTTTGATTCCCAGTCAAGGGGACATACCTTAATTGCAGGTTCAATACCTGACCCGGGAGGACACATGCGAGAGGCAACCAATGTGTCTCTCTCACATCAGTGTCTCCCTCACTTCCCTGCCTTCCCCTCTCTAAAAAAATCAATGGGAGGATTAACATATAAATAAACAATCAGGGGAGGATTAACATATAAATAAATAATAAATAAATAAATAAATAAATAAAAGACATGATGTCTAGGATTTGCTTCAAAATAATATGGGAGAGGAAGGAAATAGGCAGGTGGTAAAAGTGACAAAAGATTGCCCATGAGCTGATATTTGTTGAACTTTGGGGATGGACACAGGATAGATAGTTCAGTACACTAAGTCTGTTCACTTATGAATATGTTTGAAATTTTACATGCTTTTCTAAGTTCCTAATATTTTGACTCAGACTAATTTGCTAATTTGCATCCTACATAATAAAAGCGTAGTATGCAAATTGTCCCCTCGACTGGAAGTTCTTCTAGGAGTTTGACCAGAGGGTGGGGCCAGTCGGGGGAAGGGAGGGAGGCCCCAGCCAGCCACTGCCAACTGCTAGGGACCCTACCAGTGCACAAAGTTTGTGCACTGGGCCTCTAATAGTTTTACAATACTAAGTTTCTTAGATGTGTCATTATAATAATGTTTAATATAATGAAGTAATGACTTATATTGCCTTTAAAAATAAATATTGTGGATATTATACTTTAAGTACTTAATAGATTTTCATACAAACTATAGTCTGACCTAATTTTAATGTTTAGCTAGAACCATCCCTGGTATTTACAACTTATGCTAAAAGAATGGGCTTCCTAGGAATTGTGTTAGATGGATCAGGGCCTGTATTAGCCCTTCCTATACCACAAATATTAGGAACTGTCATTTTTTATTTTGTGTATTTCCAAATATAAGTTGGAAGAACTGATAATCAATTAATTGCTTAGCGATCTCATAATGGCTTGTTGCTACCTTTCCTAGTGCACAGTGATAGTCACAAAAACACTCTGTGAGTTCCAGTTGTGTTGCACCAAGGAAAGTAGATGTAGGATTGATTCCACACATACTCAAGGTTGGAATTCTGCAATTCCTTTTCTTTATGACAACCAGATGACTTAGCATGTAGATTTGGAGCTTATGGCATGAAAAACTTCTGAAGATCAAGCTTTAATGTAGGGCTGAGGACTCCACAGGGAATGTTGCCTATTGAGAACTGTATTCTAAATTTGACTATCCTCACTCATCAAATTCAGGGACTTGGGGTGAGGAAAATGGGGAGTTATTATTGGGTACAGATTTCACTATGGGGTGATGAAAAAGTTGTAGATATGATTAGTGTTGATGGTTGCACACAATGGGAACAGACTTAATATCACTGAATTGTACACTTAAAATCACTTAAAATGGTAAATTTTATCTTAAGCTTATTTAACCAAAATTTTAAAAATTAAAAACTACTCACATTAAATCCAGAAAGATCAATGGCAATGGCAGGTCCATCATCCCTGTCACCTTTAGGTGCAATCTGATTAAGCAGATGAAAATAGGCTCTTGAATCCTTCAAGGAAAGAAATGAAATTTTTAAAATGAATAAAATCATCATTGGATTTAGGGGGAAAGTGCTCAAACTGAAAAAATTGTCCTCATCTTGAGGAATGGAATAATAACTATTAACTTTACTTATTATTTATATGTTCCTCAATCACTGCTATTTTTCACTTCAGAGCTTCCAGCAACAATGTTCCCTACACTGGAATACCCTTCCCCACCTTTTTCATTTGTTTACACCACCAAGCATCAGCATCAGTTAAGATCAGGGTTAAGTATTACCTTTTGGAAGCCTTCCCTAGATTCTCTTAGAATTTGACCACATTGTAATAAATTATCCAATGAAGTCATATCCAAAGATGGTTATCATAATTCTTCCCTGTGAATACATATAGCTCCTCCCATTAAAAGGCAGAGTCTATTTGCACTCCTTTTTTACTTAGTCTGTACTTGTGACTTGCTTTGACCAATAGAATGCAGTTAAAGTGGTGTGCTGGGGCTCCAAGCACAGCCTGAAGAACTTCTGCATGGGTCCTCTTGAACTCAGCTTCCACATAACAAGTCCAAAGACTGACAGCCAAGCTAGCTAGGTGAATAGGCCTCTCGGAAAAGCAATGATTCACTAGACATGTGATTGATGCCCTTGCCCCAATTTGGGCCAGCCCAACTCAGCTGAATGTAGTTAGTGATCCCAACCAGAACCATCTGAAGCAGAATCACCCAACCAAGCTGCAATAACCCACAGAATCCTGAGAAACAACAGGTTGTTATTTAAGTTATTAAATTTTGAGTGTTTGTTATACAGCAGTATCTAGATCACGGAAATATCCATCTACTAGATGTTTCTCTCCCTGTGTAATTGAGTAAGCTTCAAGAGTTAGGTCTTTGCAACACCCCCTGCCTGGCATCATGTTCCACAGGAGGGATTTAATAAGTACCTGATTAACTGAATTTTAAAAGAGAAGAGCCCCCTGCAGCCAGGAGGATGGTGGAACTCTCCTGGGGAGCCCCAGTGCTCCTCCTCCAGCTGCTGTGGATCCGCGGGGCTGCAGCCTCCAGGACAGGGGCCCAGCACCCTCTGGCCAGGCTGGCACTGTGGAGGGCTGGCTCACTGGGCAGATTCTTTGTAATCCTTTTGTAAAAACTTTGGGATTCCAGGGGGCAGTAAGTACGCCTGCTCAGAATTTTTGTCCTACACAAAGTAACCATGGCGAGCAGTGGTGGTACAGGAGTGTGGGCGCTGACCCTACAGTGCACGGATGAAGAGTGTGTGGGGAACACAGCAGGCAGCCTGAACTGGAGGGTGGGGACTGTCAGACCGCTGCTATTACACTAGCACTTCCCAGTGAGTGGTGGCCTCCCTAGCACAGAAAGGAATTCTTTGCAGCCACAGCTGACTTGGTGGTGGTAGTAGTGGGGGTGGGGTAGATTTTAAGAGTTAAAGAAGATGAGAAAGTTCCATTTCTGCTGGTTGGTAATAAATAAGATTTTAGAAGATAAAAGGCAGCTTTCTGTAGAAAAGCCTAAAACAAGAGCCCATCAGTGGAATGTTAAATACATGGAAACGCTAAAATGCGCTAATGTTGACTAAGTATTTTTTATTTAATGACAGAAATTCGAGCCAGAGAGATGGAAGACAGAAAAGAATAGAAAAAGGAAAAGGAAAAGTTTAGTCATGAGAATCAGAGAAAGATGCTACAATTTATAAGCAGAGTCCCAAACTCCTTTCTCATCTTGGCCTTACTAATAAGTGTAATGTATAAGCATTTCCATTGAAGGCTCAATTGACTGAAAATATTTTTAACATTTTGAAAACTGTTATGTGTCACTAAAAGTGTGAATTGGAACTAGACTGAAACTCAAATTCACTTAAAAAATAAATTTATGTGGCTTCACCAAGAAGCAAAGCTCAACTTATTTCACAATCTCCCACATTTATCATGGTCCTGAATTTAATGCATAAGCTTGTGTTTTGAGGGCAGTCTTCTTTAAACTGTTAAAGAGGCAAGCTGGGTGGGGAATGGGAGGAAAGACTACTTTTCAGGTTTATTAAAAAGCCTTAATTTCATATCACTTAAAAATGTATTTATTCTACTACCTTGAAAATAACAATTGTGAACATGATAGTTAAACTGTATTTTTAACCATTATTATACAAAATATTGAAGAAAACTTATTGGCATGGTTGTTGCATATAGTTAAAGTGATAGTAATTCATCTGTTAACCTGCATTAATTACCTGATGATTAACTTAGAAAATTGGTGCAAACTTGTACATGGAAAATTTGATTATGCCTTAATTTAGAAACTGAAAAATACCAAGTTACTCATTCTGGGTGTGTCCTCATTGGTGCCATCGTCCCATTGCCCTTGTGTCCTGGTGAGAGAATATATGCCTAGTATGAAGTACAACTTTTGTGTAGAATATTCTTGAGAAATAACTGTCTGCTAGCAGTCTGTCCAACTTGAAACTATGTTCTGTACTCTGGTTCCTGCAAGTAAGGTTCCAGAGCTCCTGATTGCTTTTAATTAACTACACAATAGTTTAAAATAAAAGGCCAACATATACTTGTAATATAACTTTAGACTATGAGGACTCAACACCAGTTATGTGCCAGAAGCCAATTCCAGCATGTCAGCAGGGCTGAATCATCTGGAAATGGCTGAGGGCATTTCCCCAAACCTGAAAAGGATGCATTAAATGATTGCTTGCTGCCAGACAGCTCAGGGCATTTCAATCTACTTGTTATTGCCTCCTACTGGCCAAACACCTGAAAAACCGTAGACAGTTTCACCAATCTGACAATGATTCTGTATACCTAACCCTACCCTTTGATATACACACACACACACACTAGAGGCCCGGTGCACAAAAATTTGTGCACTCGGGGGGGGGGGGGGCCCGGACCCCCCCCTGCCC